TCATCAACTGTTTATTTATTTATGTGGCGCTCATTTATTTTAATCGGGATTTGGTGGTTCTGTCAATATTGTTCCAAAAAGAACAAATTTAAAAATAATTTGCACAAATGTCTGGCAAAATTGTGGCCAATTAATATTCCTGTTTGAATTTGTGCGGAATTTTTTCATCAAAACATCCGAATATCGATGTATTTACACAAATGACACGAAAATCTTGTGCAAATTCTGTATAAAATCTCAATGGACTATTGAAGAAATCGATCAGTTTAGTTTGGATCGTTAAGCATTTAAATTGGAAGAGATCAATATGAAGTTTTGTATCTGGGTATTAATTGGTATCGTCGCTGTTGTTAGAGCTGAACCTTTACTTAGTTTGCAAATTGGAAGCCAAACACGTTTATCAGGTGTACCGGGGTTATTCAAACTACTTGACGATTTGTTGGACCTTGATGATGAAAATGACATCGGCTGGGGTAGTGATAACTGCTGGAGTTGAACGAGCATTTCAAACAACGGTACCTCTGAAGGAAGCTGATTGATTGGCACCGAAGTAATAAATAACAAATAAATTGATGAACGAATTGTAATGATCAGTTTTCGGATTTTGTGATATTATACTTATCAAAAAGAACTCTTCAAAATTCACTATGAGTGAACATTTTCGTTCGTACAAACAAATATTGACATCTCTAGTACCTCGGGCTCAATTGAATGTAAAACAAATGGAATTTTTATCAAAAATATTTATTTGGATTATTAAAAAGATAAGAAAGTGTTCATATTCGAGTTAATTGATAAAAACAAAAATTCGATTTAAAAATTTATTTTGCGACGGAAATTTCTGTACAATTTTCCAAAAACTATGAATTATACAATACGATGAACATATGATGATTTTCGTTGAATGTTAACCCATTTGCAATTTTCGTTTAAATGATTTTCGTTCACATCATTGGTAATAATGAAGATGGTGATCATGCATCGTCCTTCAGCCAGTGCCGCCATTTCTTTATAATCATTTGCATCGACGTTCAAATCAAGTGAATAAATCTGTAGTGTTGTTAATTTCTTTCCCCATGTCAATATTCGTATAATACCTTGTGCTGTAAAATCTTCAACGATAATTGATAAATATTCCAATGATGACATTTTGGCCATTTCTATAGCGTGAGCTTCGGAAAGTGTTGGTACAATCAAGGCCAAATGTTTCAACGTCTTCAGTTTGGCTACGGCATCTACGCAATCGTCATCGGCACCCTCAAGTACAAGCTTTTCAAGTGGTACATTCTGTTTAACCATTAAATTGATTAATGTTCTCGCTGAATAATGGCGACCAATCAAACTCAACGCTTTCAATTTTCGTAATTTTACCAAAAACAAAATGTTGTTTTCAAATTCAATGCCTTTACCCTTACTCGTTGCGAACGTGAATTCGGTTAAATCTGGCACATGAGCCACAAGTTCCGGCAGGACATGGCTTGTGATTTCTTGGCAACAATTTATTTTCAATTTATTAATTTGTGGATTCATTTCCAAGAAATTTAGCAGAGCTTGGTTATCCATGCGTTTCATGTCGAAAAATTCAACATTCGTCAATGCTGGCACATGACGAAACATCCAACCGGAATTTAACACAGTTACTCGTCTCAGAATCAATTCTTTTAGCTTCGAATTTAAATTGAAATTGAATAATCTGCCATAGTTTATTTCCAATCGTTCCAATGACTTAAATTCACTTTGGAACCAAATCACATTGGTAGAATTGATATTGAATTTTCCATTTGGAGCTCTTTTGATCCGTGAACTTCCACCGTGAATTACAAACTCGGTTAATGTATGACGACAGTATTTTGCAATCATTTTTAATGCATTTCTTCCGTAAGTTTGGTAATCTTTGCAATTCAACCATTTGATCGAACGAATCTGATTACCGAAATTCGGAAAACAAAGTGGTATATTTTCCGCACCAATCGCATTTGGACGTTTTAAATTGTCATCGATGCAAATCTTTTTATACTTTCGGCGAAAGCACATTATGGCGTTTTCTTCATAACGCACACATGTCTCTGATGCACGAATGAAATCACGCAACGTTGGCAACCGCAATAAAACCTCTTGCACACAATCGTCATTAAGTGCATTCATAATGTGACAGCACGAATCTTGGGCTGGTGGAGCTTCCATTGTTTTTGGTTCTTTTAAATGTAGTTCGAACTTCTTTCCACGATATTAATTTTTAAAATATTAAAACAAATTTTGGTCGTTTTTATACTTGAAAAAGATTTCAATTTTTTTCTTTAATCGAAATCGAATTTTTAGCCAGAAAAAATGGTTTTCTCCTCGAAATTGACTTTTTTCACACCTTCCGATTCTACTTTTTACTTTTCTTTTTTTTTTTTCTTTTTTTAACTTTTTTTCTGATTGCTCAACTTCACTTCTTAAGTCTCAATTTTTATCAAAGAAAATCTTTCGAAAAAAAATCAGAATAAATTTGTGTCTTAGAAAAGATGCTTGTGAATTCTCCAAATGTAAGCGGCGATAGCACAAAATCAAATGTGATGAATGCTCGAATGCACCGTAATTTAAGTAAAAAATCCTGACTTCAAACGCTCATTAAGAAATCATACAAAATTACGTTTTTAGAGGACATTGCATACATCTTATTAATTTGGCCTAATTATCTATTCTTAATTATCTATAATTAAGAATTAGAAAAAGACCAGTTATTACTTATTATTAAGAAAAATGTTGGAAATTGTTTCTTTGAGCTGTGATTTTTTTTACCTGCGTAAAATTCATTAACCATTAATTACGTTCTAAAGAAAAAAATCGAAATCATTTCTGAGAAATTTTGCTCGCACATACTATGCATAATTATCTATAATTTGTTGGAGAAAAAACCAACAAATGTTTGACTTAAGGAAAATATATTTCTTAAGATGAAGAAGAAAATGAAGTAAAAGGCGGAAAACAATTTAGTTATTAACTGAGAATCAAACTCAAAATGAAAAAGCATTAAATGATTTGATCATTGAAATGAACTCTTTCTTCCAATGTCTTATACTATGGTAGTATTTACTTGGATGTTATGAAAGTGGATTATTTTATTTTTCAGTTTGATGAAAAGTTTAATAACTTCTCAGAAGAAACCTATAAATCGACTTCAAGAAAGAGTTAATATCAATCATTAGCATCTCTGAACAGAAAAAAACTTGACACCTTCATCAAAATTTTCAACTGTTGCGGAATATTATCCATTTTCTCTCTCTCTCTCTCTCTCTATTTTCAAAACAGATGCACATGTATTATTTTGGTATTTTATTTTTTTAACGATAAGAAATATTATATCTAACGTTAAAATATTATTTGAAAGAGTCCGCAGTAAAATTGTCGCAATACGATACTTCGTAAGCATTTTCTCTTTAAGCATATATCTATTTACATTATCACCAAGTTGGAATGTATTCATAATCAGACAAAGGATAGCATTTCTCGAAATAATAACATGATTAATGATTATTTTTTTATAACATGTGTTATTTGACAAATACCGATATAGATTGAGGAAAACCATTAATTGGAAATTCGTTTGGTATTTTAGTTTTCATTGAAAGAATTTATACTTATAGTATTGAAAATTAGCTATAAATATCATGTCAATAGAGACAAAAATTGAGTTATTTGGCTATAGAAAAATGAGTCGACGTAAATCGAAGTAAATATGCCACGTTTCATGTGGATACATTCTCTTGTAGCCGTAATTGGAGCCGGTTCGGCGGGATTGGTGAGTTTAAAAAATATTCGTGATGGAAAGCACACAGTGGATGTTTTCGATTGGTGGTATATGGTACTATACCGATGAAATCGTAATAGATAAATATGGCAATCCAATCCATAGTCCGATGTATCAAGGACTGACGTAAGTTCACACAAATAAAATGTCCGACTCTGAAAATGACCAACGTCTAAGAAAGGAAAAGAGAGACTCAATCTTCAAATTGAAGATAGTTTTAATAAACTCTTTTACAAAGCCTCAACATCGTTTGACTTTGACACAGCTACACAATCCAGCCATGATGATTTTCCTTCTTTTAAAACAGAACAAACGGGCCGTACCAAGTAATTGAGTTCCCTAAATTTCCGTATCCCAAAACCACAGTATCATATCCACCCCAAAAGGATGTTTTTGCATATATAAAATCGTATGTAAAAAAAATTCAGTTTGGAGCAGCATATAAAGTTCCATGCCAAATCATGCCGTCATGCTAGAATATACTTTCTGAGTGTCGATCACCATTTAATCAGCTGGCGAGAGAATTCTCGAAAATGATTGTGAACAGAGACTATTTCTCAGAGAAAGAGTGCTTTTCCTCACATTTATTGCAGTGAGAAACAGCCGCTGTTGGGAAATGATAGCACCAAGCATTTTGATTACTTGAATGCACCAAATATCGAATCACAAAACGTTTTAACTCTATCGAGGATCGAAACACAATCGACGTCACTAGATCTCAAAGAAATACAAACTTTATCACAGTGCACAAATGAAAATTCATTTTAAAGCTATTCAATGAACGAAGTAGTATAGTTTCCTACCTTTAAAAGCGTCATAAGAGCAATTGGTGTCACTTCAGTCGAATATTTATAATTTTCAATTCATTGTTTTCTATCGGCACGTGTATCAAGTCATGCTATTTCAATTTTTTCCCATTAAATTTTATGGATATTTTTCGGAAATTTTCATAAAATAAATGACAGCACTTGAAAACACGGCATCTGTATGCTCTCAGATACAGTGTTTACAACATGCTTGATTAAAAGCCGTCAATTAATGAATGCTAGAATTTGAAATTCTACAAAAATAATTAATTCAAGAGACAATGTGTTTTTTCCGATTCCAAAGTTACGTTGACTACACAAAACACTTTTTATTCTGAAAATTATTAAAATATTAAAATGAGCTGAACACAAGAAAAATCCAATTAAAATGACGGAAAAAATTATACACCACTTACGTGTGGTCGAAAAATCATTAAATACGCGGCATTTCATGTGTAAATTATCATTCGGTTTGATTCATTCGGAATGAATTTAGTAATTGTTTTGAGTGTTTTGGTTGCGGCCTTGGTAAGTAAAGTGTATTCATTTTGAAAGACGAAATTTTCAACCGAATTTCGACAGACCGTAGCAGCCGTTCCAGATGATCCGACAGACATAACGTCTTTAACGTCATTAAGTAAGAGAATTTCTCTTATACCCTCTCATCTGACTGGAGCTCCAAGTATTAATCTAAATTCGAAGGATTATGTTGAATGGATGAAAAAGTATTTCGAATATAATGTTGTGGTTCAAGTGTAAAAAGTACCTTTACAATATTGTATTTATCATTTGCTTAGATGTTGTAATCGAACCGAATACGATCCGGTGTACGAAAGTCAAAAAGTTTCCCAAAAAATATCACCTGCTTCGAACAAGTAAGGAATGATCTCTATTTAACATTCGGTTTGAAACCATTTTCACGTGGAATTTTAGTGCACTAGACCGGATCATCATTGCGATTAAAGACATACTCACCGATATTTTCCACAGAGCAAGATATACAGATTTGGAATTCGAAATGTAAGATCATTGATCATGTCAAAACATCAAATCGAAGAAATGTCTCTTTTTTGCAGGAACTTCAACAAAATTGCGGTGGCACTGAGAAATCTTATGTAAGTCATTGGGAGATAGATTGCTTCGGAAAGTCACCAACATTTTTTTTT